CCGAGTTTAATGGAGAGCCACTTTAAAGTGCCCCACCACTTCTGGAGCTTCGCCGGGGTGACCTCCAACGTGACCGCCTGGTTCATGAGGTGCCGGACGTCGCCGGCCGTCCAGGGGAGGTTCTGGAAGCCGATCTTGCGCATGCCCTCATAGGCCAAGCAGTGTGCCCGGATGGTACGGAACCGGGCATCACCAAAGAGGTGGCCAAACTCCTCCAGCTCCCTGGCCCCCATCACCTGGTGCATGGTGCCGGCTCCGGGCGTACTCCATGACGCCGGGGGCCACGCGGCTCTCCCGGCTGGTGGGCTGCGCGCTCTCCCTCAGCGTCTTCTTGCTGTGGCAGTCGCCGCACAGCGCCTGCAAAATCTGCACGCTGCCCGCAAAGGCCTGCCTCACCGGCACCACGTGGTCCAGCTCGCCCGCAGCCGCACAGCGCGCACTTGCCGTCCTGCGCGGGGAAGGGGATGAAGTATCCTAGGAGGCGTTCCAACCACCTGGCCCTCAAGTGTTGTTCCAACGCTCTCTGAGATGTCGGCAATTGGGTTTTGATCTTCCCTGGTTTCCAATGCCGCCACTTGTTGGCCACTGCCAGGACATCCGGGGCCTCAATCGATCCGGAAAGGATCCACTCTTCGCGGTCCCGGATGGCCTGTTCCATTTCCAGTGGAGAATAGGTGTGCGATTGCCTGGCGCCTGCCGCACGAAACAGAAGTTGTTGCAGGGTCTTAGTAGCGAGCTCCAAATCCGCCTCCTCCAGCGGTTGTGGTTGGGAGCCGAGTATCCTCGCGAGGATCAAGTTGTAGGTGTCCGAGGCCACCAGGACGTGGTTGCCGTCAGGTGCCAGCCCCACGATCCGTGTCCACGGCCGCGGGTCAAAGACCACCGCATCCGGGTTGGCGACCTTGTCCTTTTTGACCCATTCCAGGCAGCACGCCACGAGGATTTCCCCGTCCGACTGCACTGGTGCAAATCCAAGGTCATGCAAAATCAACTGGAGCGCGGTTGGCGCCCCTAGGAAGGTCGTCCCAAACGGGGAAGGGAGGCGGGGCCTCCACATCATCATGATCCACTCGAGCCGGGGGCCTAGTCCCTAGGTGCAAACCCCAACCAAACAACAGGGGGCCCCCCAAAACCCCGGAAAGTCAACCCCGAAACGGAGGAAACGGGGGAAAAAAAGGGGGACCCAGGGAGCCGCCCCGAAAAGGGAAAACCAAACAAGAGAGGGGAACCAAGGCGCACCCCGGATCAGCCCAAGCCGCGCCAATTTTCCTCGCCTGGTGCAAGTCTGGGCCTGCGCTGTTCCCTGGGGGGGGATATCAGCGCCTTCGGCAGCTGTCCCCCCCCCGGGGTGCGCTGCGCATCCGTTCCGGATGGCCGCGGTCCTGGATGGTGTGCCGGAAGATGGCGTTGTCCCGCATCCTCACGCGGCCCCCTTCGCGATGTCATCGATGCGCTTGAGCGCAGCAGCCTCCGGATTCCGCAGAATCAGCTCCCAGATGGCATTGGAGACGTGGCCTGTCTGGGTGGTCTGGCTGAATCTGAACCTGGGCACCTTCTGGTCCACGATGGAGACGTCCCGCAACGGGGCCGAGGGCTCCACCCGGCGGTAGTACTCCAGCCGCTCCTTCACCCAGCGGTTGTAGAGGCCCTCCGGCGGCTCGTCCAACACCAGCTGCAAGATGGCCTTGCCGGCCCGGATCTGGAGGAGGCGGGTGCCCCCTCCCCCGGCACGCCAGTACCCCTTACAATACTTGCACATGTAGCCCCCCCGGGTCTCCCCTTTTGTCTTCGGGATGAGTTCCCACGGGGTGACGGAGCTCAGGACCAGGCCACACTCCATGTGCGCCCAGAAGACATGCTTCATCTCCACCGGATAGTTCTTCTTCCGGTAGTCCTTACCCACCAACCACGCCGTGGACGTTGTCCGCCGTGATGGGGGGGTAAACGATCCCCTCATCGCCCTCGCCTCCCCTGGGGCGGATGTCAGGGCCATCGGCACCTGTCCGGCACCCAGGGGCGGAGGGGTCCAGGCCCATCAGCTTGATCATGTCGTTGGTGTAGCCGAGCTTGCGGTAGATGGAGGGGGCCACTGAGTCGGGGACTGCGCCGACCCACCACTGCTTCGTGTTGCAGCGCCAGTTGACCTTCACCTCCGCCAGGGCCCCCGGGCCTCCAATGCGGTCCATGAGGGCCTTGTACACCTCTGGGAACTGCTGGAGGCTCTCCACCGGGACCGAGATGCGCTCGTCGCATACCGCCCGCAGGATCATCTGCTCCTTGGAGTCCGCCACGTCCTTCAGGGTCTCCCAGCCCTCCAGGCGGGTCTGATTCTGGGCCTTGTTTTTCGGGCCCCGCTGCCTAGGGCCCTGCAGCAGTGGCAGAGACTCCCAGACTCCCCAGCGCAGGGTGTAGCTGTGCCCGAACATCCCCAGTAGGCCTGGGAGTGTCCAGGACGAGATCTGGCGCATCCAGTGGAAGTCCTCATCCGGATCGTGGGGGGCAGCCCAAAAGATGGATCGCAGGTCCCCAGGGTAGGGTCGGTCCCCCGCCTTCGCCTGCTGGTGCAACTCATCAACGGAGTACCTGGCCCAGGGGAGTCCACCCACCTGGTGGTTCCTGGGATGCGTACCCTTCTCCAACGCCTCCGGATTCACCTTGGTGAGGTTTTTCGCCCAATCCGGGACGTGTACCGGGCCCGGTCGTCGGACCCAGCGGCCCGCAAAGATACGGACCTCTCCGACCCGTTTGCTCATCATCCAGCGCAGGACCGAGAGCTGCACCTCCGGGTCCTTGGTGTCCAGGCACCGGGGTGGCGGACGGCTTGTCAGGGCCCTCGGCACCTGAGCTCGTCACGCCAGAGCCCGAGGCTGGGGGGATGGTGGGCGGCCTGTCAGGGCCCTCGGCACCTGGGCGCGCCGCACCAGAGCCCCCCGCCTTTGGCATGGGGATCCCTGTCAGGTCCGGCAGATCTGACAGGAGGGCCGCCGGGAAGGGATTCCTACCCAGCGAGATGACCGCCTTGGCCTCAAGGTAGGAGTCCGTGAGGGATGTGAGGTCGTCCATACTGAAGTCCCTCCATGCCGTTGTCGGCTCGAAGACCCCAGTCTCAATGGCGACCCGGACCTCACTAGGCCACGCACTGAAGGGAGGCGCGATGGGCTCGAGCATTCTGGTTTCGAGGGAGCCCTTCGCCTGTCTGGCTTGGTGTTTCGCTTTCGCCTCCTCCGCAGTGGTCTGGGCCTGGAGGAGCTCCGGTGTGGGTCTCCCCCAGTCCGCACCCAGCTTGTCCAGCAGCTTCTCACGGAAGAGGTCCAAGTCCAGGTTCTTCAGGAGCAGGCCTCCATCACCTCCTCCGTCAATGGCCCCCCCTTGAAGTTCGTGGAGGACCGCCGCGGAGCGCTCCACCGCTTCCACCTGGTCCGCCTTCTTGGCCTCCTCCTGGGCGATGGTGGTGGCGTTGAGCCGGGTCTGAATCTTGAAGGCCTTCACCGCAGACGGGTGGAAGGCTCTGCATTCCTGGCCCTCTTCCTTGTCGCCTGGCAATGGGGGCCTCTCCCCCGGTGGGGCCGTCAGAAACTCCTCGTCCAGCTCCATGGGGCAGTTCCTGATCACCGCCCGGACCGAGGAGGGGACGAAGTCCGAGAAGCTGGCCTGGTCCGGGTTCTCGCAGGCCATCGGGTCGGTGGCCAGCTCGCTGACGTCCACCGAGGCACTGAGCTTGAGGTCGCGGGCCCGGTCCGTGTCAGGGCCTTCGGCACCCGCGGACCGGGCCGCCGTCCAGACCGCATTGCCCTGGTCATCCACCGTCAACTGCCAATGCGTGCCCGCCATCTCCAGGGTGGCCGAGTTGGTCGCCGTGTCAATGGGCTCCGTCTTCTTGCCGCACCCCATGCACTTCGTGGCGCCCTTCTTCACCCAGGGCATGGTGCAGCAGGGGCAGATCCAGGATGTGGGCACCTTGCCCAGGGGGCGGTTCTCCAGGCCCCCGTACCCCAAGCCAGCGCGCTTGCCAACCTGCTGTCCCGGGGTGCTGAGCCGGGCCTCATGCTCGTACTTCATCTTGGCGATGTAGAAGGCCTCCACAACGCGCTCCAGGCCCCCCTGCTTGAGTTGGGGGCCCTCAAAGCCTCGCAGGAGCCGCTGGACGTCCTTGGCCTGCAGTCGGCGGAGCCTAGTGGCCGTGGTCGCATCGAAGCAAGGGAAGTCGCCCGCCATCTGGTCGTCGCTGAACTGGTAGAGGCCCTCCGAGACCTTGAGGGCCTTGGTGAACACGCTCCCCCCCGGCGGGGGGGCTGCGGGGTTCTCATCCTCCTCCGAGGACGCCTGCTCCTTGACCTTCGCCATCAGCTCCCGGCGCCTCTGCCACTTGGCGTCTGCCCGGGCATCCAGGCGGGCCTCCTCCAAGCGGGCTGCAGCCGAGGGGGACCTGGGCATCGGCAGCTCCTTCTCGTCCTTCGCCAGGAGCTCCTCCATGGGCACGTCCTCCTCCGGCGGGTTCAGGAGCTCCAGGAACGCCCCTGGGGGGCGTGTCAGGGCCTTCGGCACCTGCGCCACCCCAGGGGCTGCATCTTCCATCGGCTCATCCTCTGCCTTGCGCTTGGCCGGGATAAGGGGGGCCTGCTCCAGCTCATCTGCGCTGGAGAAGAAACGCTCGTCAGGTGCCTGAGGGACCTCAGCAGCCAAAACGGTCCATCCTTCTTCCTCCCTCTTCACGAGGCTCGCCAGGTACTTTGCCATGGAGGCCTTTGCCTTAGCCTTGGCCTCTGCTACCGCGGCACCAGCGTAGGCGGGGGCGTACATGGCTTTGAGAGTAGGGGAAAGAAAGATTTCAAATCACAAGACAAAAGATCAAAAGGTCCACTTGAGCCAAAATGGTGGCCCAAGTGGATACTTATTAAGAGTCAAGACAAGCGACCACCTACGGTTAACGCTTTAGCCCAGAAGAAAACAAATTGCCCGCCTCAAGTGCTGCGCTGCTTCGCTGACCCCGGGCCCCCGGCAGAAAGACCAAGATGGCCCCTTCGTCCCGGGCCACGTGCGCGAACTGCTGGGAGCCCTAGGCGCGCCATCCGGACGAATCCGCCACCAGAACGAAGCCAAAGCGCCTGTCTCTCTCGCTTGAAATCCCAGAAAACCCCCATGGCTTGGTGCAGCGTCGAAAGGGCGGAGCCTTTATTTTTTACAGAGTTTCACAGGGCCAAAGGGAATCCGTTTCCGTTGCTTGGGCGTTGACCTCAAGAAGCTGGCTTGAGAAGTCTCGATGTCGCAGGAAGCTGCGCCATGGGCACTCAAGCTCATTGTCGTTTCCTACGGTGTCCCTTTGGAACGGACTTTTTCACTCTGACAGAATTTCCACGTCACTACCCTGCGAGAAATTGGATATAATTATTATACACGCATTATGTACTTATTTCAACTACTTGCTTATTTTCGTATTTGTTATTCGTACAAAAAACAGAGGCGCTCCGCACCCGAGATGAGTGGTGGTCTTAATTCCCTTTTCAAGTTGAAGGCACGTGCTGGCCCCCTCCGCGAAATATTTTGCAAAGCTTCTGCGGTGTGAGCAAGCTGTGTCCGGAAATTGAGAAAGGTAGCTTCCTCGAGCGCTAGTAATACTGGAAGAAGCAGATGTAATTCAGAAAACGCAAATAAACCAAGTCGGCCAAGTCCCTTCCGCGAGCTTCCGCGTGAGAGCAAACTTCCACAAAACCCTACGTGAACCTTCCGCGGCTGCAGTGCGGTGGCACCTTTTTGTTGATATGCTTTATTTCTAGACATGTTTCCTTGAGCGGGAAAAACTACCGCCACTGAAATCAAGAGTTAAACACAACAAACCCAGGAAGTTCTACAAATTCCCGTCCAGCCGTGGAGGTTCCTTCGCTCCCAGCTCAGGAGACAGTGGGCCAAAGACGGCGCCGAGCTATGGGAGGCGACCGACTCTGTTCACGAAAAGTTGGCGCGTGAACATCAAAGCCTGGAAGCCAACTCTGCGGCAAAACGTCATGTCATAGATTCATCCTTACTTTGGGGCCGTTGAATCAACAAAGGCCATTATAACAAGAAGTATTTCATGGTTGTGTACCCCATGTTCTTTTTGGTGGGAGTGAGGAAACACGATCTTCATCCTTCCACAAATCGTGGCTGCATGCCTTTTTTTCTCGGCACAGTGGTTCCAGGGAGACAGAAAACCTCCCCGCGCTTGCGGCAAAAAATCCGATGCCTCGATGTACTCCAAGAGCAGCTCGATGAGATCGTAGTTGATGCGGGTGTGGTCCTCAGCTGGGCGCAGCGAGTCACCTCCAAACCCTTGGAAGAGGGTGGGTTGTCTCTCAATTCCGCATTTCTCCTCAGGGAACGTAGAACCATGGGGTTCCAGGGTCAATTACCCTTCTCATTCCCGCAAAAAGGGGTGCAACTTGGATCGAGGTGTTGTAAAGGCTCTTTTGAGCCATTCGATAAAGGCAGATCTTCGGAAGCCAGCATTTAGGTGGGGTCAATACTACCTTTGGGCAAGTTTTGCCCGGGACATATTGCGCGTGCAGCAAAAGGCAGCAATGAACAGCCAGCGATCGGGGTCACGTGGCTAAACCGCTCAGCCTCAACCCACTTTCCGGCTTGTACTTGCACGCCGGGGAAGGCAAGGAGGCTTTTTACCCTCTCTGTTCATTTGCTGGCGCTCCCCCAGAAACCTCCTGGATTTCTGGATATCTCAATTCGGAGAAACTACGTTGCGATTGCGGCGCATGCTGCAGGAACACCTTGAAAGGGGGGGAAGTGTATAAAACCTATTGTTTTGCAGCAAGCCTGCAAAGATGTGCGGCCCATCGGCTGCTAGAAGGACGTGGGTGGGGCGGGGGGTCTTTGGTCATCAACACTCGATTTGGTTGGGCTTAGGACTCAAATAGCTGCTATTAGCTTCTATTTGTGTGTGTCAAAACAATAGAAAATTTAGGGAGGTGTAGTACTCTATGGAATTGGAAAATAGATTCCCCAAACAATTGGCTCCCTTTTGCCTTCCCTTTCAAACCAGCCCTTCAAAATGCTGTCATGTTTTCCTCTCCCTCCAAAACCAACCAATCAGAGGCTCGCCAAAAAACCGCGGCCACGCTTGTGGCGCTGGTCGCAGGCTTCGGAATCTCACCCCTGGGCCCACCGGCCATGTAGGAGAGGCAGCGCTGAGTCTCGGCCTAGCTGGCAGCGGGGTGGGTGAGAGGGTCGGACCATGTCAATAGCGATACGCGTGTGTACCAAAACAGACATGCATTCTAGAATGCGACATGTGTACATACACATATTTCTATACAAGTACATCCATGTGTGTACATATGTATATATATATATATGCATGTATCTACATATCTTTGTGCACTCAGACACCATTGCCAAGATCCCACATCTTCCCCGCCTCGTAGCTGGCGTCGCACATCTCCGCCTCATCATCACAGCCTTGGCCCGGCCCGGCTGAGGCTCTCAGGTCTGCCGGTCCGCAAGCCCTTCATGTCAGCGCTCGAACTGGGTGGGTGAGAGAAGACATCCCTGAGAGGGAATACCTGTCAAGACGACTGGCGAACAAATATATATATATATATATGCCATATATATATATATATGTGCTATACATATATATATATATATATATATGTATGTGTCCCTCTCCCAACACCTACCAAAATTGCCGTTGTTCGTGTTGTGAGATTCAAGATTCTCAGGATTTGTTCTTCAGGAGCTTGAATCTTGAGAAGTGTGACTTCAAAGCCACTTTGAGGCGAATGGAATTCAATTCCAGACATCTTGTAGTAAGCGATTGGCAGAAGAGTGGGTCAATCAAGCAGTCGCGCAATTGGTCCAGGCGCTCGCAAAAAGGGTACACAGAGAGGCGGGGGTCACTTGCAGGCGTGCCCCAAAGTCCGTGTGAACCGAATGACATCTTGGGGCCTATCTGATTCCAACGGGCGCGAGCACTCCTTCCAAAGAGCCCCCTATCGCTTGCCGTGGCTTTGTGCATTTGCACAACAATGAAACGCTGAATGCAAACTCAACAGAAGTACCTTTGCGGTACTTCACAAAGATCATGATAGACAGATAGGATAGGATAGGATATGATGGGACGTGATTGGATAGGATAGGATAGGATAGGATAGGATAGGATAGGACATTTGATTAGACTAGATCAACAGTAGATAGACAGATAGACAACATAAGATCAAATCAGATAAGACAAGATAAGATACATTAAACTTAGATTATATTAGAGAGATGGACGGACGGCGGACGGACGGACGGACGGACGGACGGATGGATGGATGGACGGGGAGAAGGGGTGCCAAGCCGGAAGCCGAGTTCTGATCGCGCAAGGTAAAATCAGCAAATGAAGACCAGGCACGTTGACAGCTCATGCAAAGATACTCCTCCCAACCAAGAAAGACCTGTGCTCTCTCTCAATTGCCATGTATGGAACTTGGTTGCGCCCCCATCCAAGCACCAACGCCCTTTTTGTTGCAAGCCGCACAAGCGGGGGAAACTACGGCGAGTCTCTGTCGGCCCCCGATGTCACCGATGTCTGAAACACTGGCAGGACGGTCCAAAGGCCAGCCACTAAGCGGGCGATCCAAATAATTAGAGGCTAGCGCCAAAATAGGGCCAAAAAAGGCCTGCAGGGTCTCTGACGAGTTCCGTGCTGAAGGATTGCACCACTGAGTTGGTTCAATTCCAATGGGGTATTAAGCTCTCCGGAGCATAAATGCTCCTGCTCCTCCTACTCCTGCTGCTCCTCCTGCTGCTCCTGCTCCTCCTGCTCCTCCTGCTCCTCCTGCTCCTCCTGCTCCTCCTGCTCCTCCTGCTCCTCCTGCTCCTCCTGCTCCTCCTGCTCCTCCTGCTCCTCCTGCTCCTCCTGCTCCTCCTGTTGGTTGCTGCTCCTGCTGCTCTTGCTGCTACAGTTTTCATTGTTGATCTTGTTGGTTGTTGCTCGTGTTGCCCTCGGGGGCAATTAGTTTTGCGCTCGGCGCTTTTGAGTTCAACGTGTAGGCGCATACGTGCGTGGTACACGCGTACATGCGCTGTGCGGTGCTTACATCTAGCAAGGGTCGCCTGCATGGTGGCTGTGGGAACTATAGACCGCCCGGGCCCGTAAGCGGACCATGTTTCATCAGGTGCAGCGGAAGCATCGGCTTTGGGTTCCACTCCAGCTTGCCGCAAGAGTTCTCGTCTTGGATGATTTACGAACTCCAAGAGACGCCGCCCGGCAGGAAGACATAGGTCCCAATTTGTGGGAACACCCGTGCTTGATGTTGGATGAAACCTCTGATGTTTGGAACCCCCAGTTTCGCTCGTTAACTCCGAACACAGACTTCAACCAACCCCTTTGCAGCTCTGAACGCTTGAGGTTGCAACTCAGACACGAGGTAGCCATCTCGCATCTCTAGGTGCACCTTGCCTGTCTGGGAAAGCAGAATCTGTATTAATCAATCCCCCCAGTTAAGGGGACCCAAACACTAAACAACATTTGGCACAGCTTCTCGCTTTGAAAACCAGCATATTTTGCATTTACATATGTGAAGACCAATGGTGGATGGATTTGCGCCGGCCAGAAACAGGGTGCAAGCAGGAGTGATTGGTGGACCCAGGTGTACGTTTGCTAAATTTGATGACACCAGTGCACCATTAGAACCAAGCTCAAGCCAGTGGAATCCATCTAATTTCCGCCGAACTGACCACAAAAGGACGTCTATGCCACAAGGCAACAATTCCAACCCACTAAACCAGCCACAAAAACTCCGCAAGCCAACTCCATATCTTGGTAGAGGGAAGGCATCCAACCACTCGAAACGCCTGGTACCCAAGCCTTCTCCACTTCACAATGGAAGGCAGCCCTTGGGCTCTTGATATGAGGTGACACCGTGACATTGCGGCTTTGGACAGGCCCATTGACGGGGCCAGAAGGTGTCACTGCTTCGGATGGTACCCTTTGGCCCAGATCCGCGATACACCAAAAACAGGGTCG